GGCAACGCTTGGAAGTGAAGTACTCGCGTTGGCTGTTTTCTCGGTTGTGGCAGCACTTGGAAGTGGAGTACTCGCGTTGGCTGTTTTCTCGGTTGTGGCAGCACTTGGAAGTGGAGTACTCGCGTTGGCTGTTTTCTCGGTTGTGGCAACGCTTGGAAGTGAAGTACTCGCGTTGGCTCTTTTCTCGGTTGTGGCAGCACTGGGAAGTGAAGTACTTGCGTTGGCTGTTTTCTCGGTTGTGACAGCACTTGGAAGTGAAGTACTCGCGTTGGCTGTTTTCTCGGTTGTGGCAGCACTTGGAAATGAAGTACTCGCGTTGGCTGTTTTCTCGGTTGTGGCAGCACTTGGAAATGAAGTACTCGCGTTGGCTGTTTTCTCGGTTGTGGCAGCACTTGGAAGTGAAGTACTCGCATTGGCTGTTTTCTCGGTTGTGGCAGCACTTGGAAGTGGAGTACTCGCGTTGGCTGTTTTCTCGGTTGTGGCAGCACTTGGAAGTGGAGTACTCGCGTTGGCTGTTTTCTCGGTTGTGGCAGCACTTGGAAGTGAAGTACTCGCGTTGGCTCTTTTCTCGGTTGTGGCAGCACTGGGAAGTGAAGTACTTGCGTTGGCTGTTTTCTCGGTTGTGACAGCACTTGGAAGTGAAGTACTCGCGTTGGCTGTTTTCTCGGTTGTGGCAGCACTTGGAAATGAAGCACTCGCGTTGGCTGTTTTCTCGGTTGTGGCAGCACTTGGAAATGAAGCACTCGCGTTGGCTGTTTTCTCGGTTGTGGCAGCACTTGGAAGTGAAGTACTCGCGTTGGCTGTTTTCTCAGTTGTGGCAGCACTTGGAAGTGAAGTACTCGCGTTGGCTGTTTTCTCGGTTGTGGCAACGCTTGGAAGTGAAGTACTCGCGTTGGCTGTTTTCTCGGTTGTGGCAGCACTTGGAAGTGGAGTACTCGCGTTGGCTGTTTTCTCGGTTGTGGCAGCACTTGGAAGTGGAGTACTCGCGTTGGCTGTTTTCTCGGTTGTGGCAACGCTTGGAAGTGAAGTACTCGCGTTGGCTCTTTTCTCGGTTGTGGCAGCACTGGGAAGTGAAGTACTTGCGTTGGCTGTTTTCTCGGTTGTGACAGCACTTGGAAGTGAAGTACTCGCGTTGGCTGTTTTCTCGGTTGTGGCAGCACTTGGAAATGAAGTACTCGCGTTGGCTGTTTTCTCGGTTGTGGCAGCACTTGGAAATGAAGTACTCGCGTTGGCTGTTTTCTCGGTTGTGGCAGCACTTGGAAGTGAAGTACTCGCATTGGCTGTTTTCTCGGTTGTGGCAGCACTTGGAAGTGGGGTACTCGCGTTGGCTGTTTTCTCGGTTGTGGCAGCACTTGGAAGTGGAGTACTCGCGTTGGCTGTTTTCTCGGTTGTGGCAGCACTTGGAAGTGGAGTACTCGCGTTGGCTGTTTTCTCGGTTGTGGCAACGCTTGGAAGTGAAGTACTCGCGTTGGCTCTTTTCTCGGTTGTGGCAGCACTGGGAAGTGAAGTACTTGCGTTGGCTGTTTTCTCGGTTGTGACAGCACTTGGAAGTGAAGTACTCGCGTTGGCTGTTTTCTCGGTTGTGGCAGCACTTGGAAATGAAGTACTCGCGTTGGCTGTTTTCTCGGTTGTGGCAGCACTTGGAAATGAAGTACTCGCGTTGGCTGTTTTCTCGGTTGTGGCAGCACTTGGAAGTGGGGTACTCGCATTGGCTGTTTTCTCGGTTGTGGCAGCACTTGGAAGTGAAGTACTCGCGTTGGCTGTTTTCTCGGTTGTGGCAGCACTTGGAAGTGGAGTACTCGCGTTGGCTGTTTTCTCGGTTGTGGCAGCACTTGGAAGTGGAGTACTCGCGTTGGCTGTTTTCTCGGTTGTGGCAGCACTTGGAAGTGGAGTACTCGCGTTGGCTGTTTTCTCGGTTGTGGCAACGCTTGGAAGTGAAGTACTCGCGTTGGCTCTTTTCTCGGTTGTGGCAGCACTGGGAAGTGAAGTACTTGCGTTGGCTGTTTTCTCGGTTGTGACAGCACTTGGAAGTGAAGTACTCGCGTTGGCTGTTTTCTCGGTTGTGGCAGCACTTGGAAATGAAGTACTCGCGTTGGCTGTTTTCTCGGTTGTGGCAGCACTTGGAAATGAAGTACTCGCGTTGGCTGTTTTCTCGGTTGTGGCAGCACTTGGAAGTGAAGTACTCGCATTGGCTGTTTTCTCGGTTGTGGCAGCACTTGGAAGTGGGGTACTCGCGTTGGCTGTTTTCTCGGTTGTGGCAGCACTTGGAAGTGAAGTACTCGCGTTGGCTGTTTTCTCGGTTGTGGCAGCACTTGGAAGTGGAGTACTCGCGTTGGCTGTTTTCTCGGTTGTGGCAGCACTTGGAAGTGGAGTACTCGCGTTGGCTGTTTTCTCGGTTGTGGCAGCACTTGGAAGTGAAGTACTCGCGTTGGCTCTTTTCTCGGTTGTGGCAGCACTGGGAAGTGAAGTACTTGCGTTGGCTGTTTTCTCGGTTGTGACAGCACTTGGAAGTGAAGTACTCGCGTTGGCTGTTTTCTCGGTTGTGGCAGCACTTGGAAATGAAGTACTCGCGTTGGCTGTTTTCTCGGTTGTGGCAGCACTTGGAAGTGAAGTACTCGCATTGGCTGTTTTCTCGGTTGTGGCAGCACTTGGAATTGGAGTACTCGCGTTGGCTGTTTTCTCGGTTGTGGCAGCACTTGGAAGTGAAGTACTCGCGTTGGCTGTTTTCTCGGTTGTGGCAACGCTTGGAAGTGAAGTACTCGCGTTGGCTGTTTTCTCGGTTGTGGCAGCACTTGGAAGTGGAGTACTCGCGTTGGCTGTTTTCTCGGTTGTGGCAGCACTTGGAAGTGGAGTACTCGCGTTGGCTGTTTTCTCGGTTGTGGCAACGCTTGGAAGTGAAGTACTCGCGTTGGCTCTTTTCTCGGTTGTGGCAGCACTGGGAAGTGAAGTACTTGCGTTGGCTGTTTTCTCGGTTGTGACAGCACTTGGAAGTGAAGTACTCGCGTTGGCTGTTTTCTCGGTTGTGGCAGCACTTGGAAATGAAGTACTCGCGTTGGCTGTTTTCTCGGTTGTGGCAGCACTTGGAAGTGAAGTACTCGCATTGGCTGTTTTCTCGGTTGTGGCAGCACTTGGAATTGGAGTACTCGCGTTGGCTGTTTTCTCGGTTGTGGCAGCACTTGGAAATGAAGTACTCGCGTTGGCTGTTTTCTCGGTTGTGGCAGCACTTGGAAGTGAAGTACTCGCGTTGGCTGTTTTCTCGGTTGTGGCAGCACTTGGAAGTGAAGCACTCGCGTTGGCTGTTTTCTCGGTTGTGGCAGCACTTGGAAGTGAAGCACTCGCGTTGGCTGTTCTCTCGGTTATGGCAGCACTTGGAAGTGAAGTACTCGCGTTGGCTGTTTTCTCGGTTGTGGCAGCACTTGGAAGTGGAGTACTCGCGTTGGCTGTTTTCTCGGTTGTGGCAGCACTTGGAAGTGAAGTACTCGCGTTGGCTGTTTTCTCGGTTGTGGCAGCACTTGGAAGTGAAGTACTCGCGTTGGCTGTTTTCTCGGTTGTGGCAGCATTTGGAAGTGAAGTACTCGCGTTGGCTGTTTTCTCGGTTGTGGCAGCACTTGGAAGTGGAGTACTCGCGTTGGCTGTTTTCTCGGTTGTGGCAGCACTTGGAAGTGGAGTACTTGCGTTGGCTGTTTTCTCGGTTGTGGCAGCACTTAGAAGTGGAGTACTCGCGTTGGTTGTTTTCTCGGTTGTGGCAGCACTTGGAAGTGAAGTACTCGCGTTGGCTGTTTTCTCGGTTGTGGCAGCACTTGGAAGTGAAGTACTCGCGTTGGCTGTTTTCTCGGTTGTGGCAGCACTTGGAAGTGAAGTACTCGCGTTGGCTGTTTTCTCGGTTGTGGCAGCACTTGGAAGTGAAGTACTCGCGTTGGCTGTTTTCTCGGTTGTGGCAGCACTTGGAAGTGAAGTACTCGCGTTGGCTGTTTTCTCGGTTGTGGCAGCACTTAGAAGTGGAGTACTCGCGTTGGCTGTTTTCTCGGTTGTGGCAGCACTTGGAAGTGGAGTACTCGCGTTGGCTGTTTTCTCGGTTGTGGCAGCACTTGGAAGTGGAGTACTCGCGTTGGCTGTTTTCTCGGTTGTGGCAGCACTTGGAAGTGCAGTACTCGCGTTGGCTGTTTTCTCGGTTGTGGCAGCACTTGGAAGTGAAGTACTCGCGTTGGCTGTTTTCTCGGTTGTGGCAGCACTTGGAAGTGGAGTACACGCGTTGGCTGTTTTCTCGGTTGTGGCAGCACGTGGAAGTGGAGTACTCGCGTTGGCTGTTTTCTCGGTTGTGGCAGCACTTGGAAGTGAAGTACTCGCGTTGGCTGTTTTCTCGGTTGTGGCAGCACTTGGAAGTGAAGTACTCGCGTTGGCTGTTTTCTCGGTTGTGGCAGCACTTGGAAGCGAAGTACTCGCGTTGGCTGTTTTCTCGGTTGTGGCAGCACTTGGAAGTGAAGTACTCGCGTTGGCTGTTTTCTCGGTTGTGGCAGCACTTGGAAGTGGAGTACTCGCGTTGGCTGTTTTCTCGGTTGTGGCAGCACTTGGAAGTGAAGTACTCGCGTTGGCTGTTTTCTCGGTTGTGGCAGCACTTGGAAGTGAAGTACTCGCGTTGGCTGTTTTCTCGGTTGTGGCAGCACTTGGAAGTGAAGTACTCGCGTTGGCTGTTTTCTCGGTTGTGGCAGCACTTGGAAGTGAAGTACTCGCGTTGACTGTTTTCTCGGTTGTGGCAGCACTTAGAAGTGGAGTACTCGCGTTGGCTGTTTTCTCGGTTGTGGCAGCACTTGGAAGTGGAGTACTCGCGTTGGCTGTTTTCTCGGTTGTGGCAGCACATGGAAGTGAAGTACTCGCGTTGGCTGTTTTCTCGGTTGTGGCAGCACTTGGAAGTGGAATACTCGCGTTGGCTGTTTTCTCGGTTGTGGCAGCACTTGGAAGTGGAGTACTCGCGTTGGCTGTTTTCTCGGTTGTGGCAGCACTTGGAAGTGAAGTACTCGCGTTGGCTGTTTTCTCGGTTGTGGTAGCATTTGTATCCTGTCCATCGATGGCAACAATGGAAGTGAGTAAAACTGCAAGTATGTAATTTGGCGAGCAATTTTCAAAAAGAAGAGGTCTGTATGGACCACAGCAGTAAAAAAGAAAAATTGAAAATTATTGTATTGGCACTGTTTTTGTCGTCTATATCGGAATTCATTATGTGATTTCATGTGTAATTTAAAAGGCGACGCAACTTTTTTACCGTAGGATGGATCTCTAATGATTGCGTCATCAAGAAACCGCTTTTGGCAAGAAAGTTGAAGCTCACCTAACGGACTAAAATCAACTCATCGGCAAAAATTTAAAAACTATGGATATGAACCAAACTAATTGGAATCGGCTGTGAGCAGCCGAAGGCACGTCGTCGACAACGGGTGGTTTTGCGGTTTAAGTAGAGGTTATGGAATTTTGCTTTTATACCAAACTAGGCCCGTCATTAAGCCACTCCAAAAATGCATAGTCACGCATGAATTCCATGAATCGGAAGCGTTGAAAGTGAACGACCCAATTCCGTATATTAGTCCACTAGACTTGTCCTTTGTAAACGACGAGAGCAGTATCAAGAGCAGTATCAAGAGTGTGCCAGGGGGAGGGGGTGATGAGGAGGAGGTGTAAAAAATTTTTGTAAAAAAGTTTTGCTTCCGGCACCATTAGCGCATTTGGAGTGGCTCGTTTAGGTGGGCTACTTTTATAGCAAAATCCCAGAATCTCAATTTGATCGGAGACTGTAAAAATTGTGGAATGCTTTGCGTTTTCCTATGAGCATCGTTGGACCAGAAAGATGGGATTAGTCGCCAACGTGTTTTTTCTGAGCTTACTATGATCAAACACTTTTCTATATTATTTACAGAACTATCAATTTTCACACATTATTCTTGTTGCTTTTTTATACAAGTTACGCCAGCAAATACCCCAATTTCACGAGTACAAGACGCATCTTTTTCGAATTTTCAAGCGAGCCGCTCAGCCCAATCCTTGTGCTTTTTCGGAAGACGAGACTCTTACCGCACGAGACCCTCAGGCAATAGGCCTCGGCCAGAGTTCACGCGATTTGATCGTCGCGATGTAATCGCGACAAGACAACTGTTACGAGTTCATTGCCTGGTGACCAGCTTGCATTTCGGTTGTGATACTTTTCCAGCCCGAAATTTTTGAATGTAAAATGAAAATGAATGGAAACCGCGGCGATTGAATCGCGACGATCAACTCGCGTGAACTCTGTCCGAGGCCATACGCAGACGGTATGGGAGGATCTTTTGGTCGCAAAATCTCTTGGTGTGTTCAAGCTGGTGTCCAGAAGAACAAAAACGGGTACTTGTACTCGTGATATTAAGGCACCTAGAAGATCATGGCCCAATCTTGTGCTATTACAAATATAATATTCAAGGACGGAAGGGGAAACTATAACAGGATACTATCAGGTTGTCCCGAAAGTTTTGTCGGTTTCTTTCATCGATCACTGAAACTCACAGAACATCAATCCATGGGCAAGCTAGATACCATTTGATTCAGATTTTTATCCTCTTTCATAAAGCTAAATTTTCTCTTTGATCTACCCTGTCTTTGCAATGTTATCGCCATGGCTTTTTGAGCACTCAGCAGTACGCCAAATATTTCCTGAATTGTAAAAATTTTTATACTAATGTTTTCAAAGAGCGCTGGTAACTGTTATGTAGAGCAAACCTTTGACTACATTGCGTTTATTTTAGATTACATGGGTCACGTTTATCAAGTCCATTATAATTAATTCTTTAATAAAAACCGCTACTTTTTCATTACATTTACCACGTAAATGTACCGAAAATTCCAAAAAGGTGCTTTTTCAAGGCAAGTCAAATTTGGTCATGTTGCATAAATGATCTTTAATAAGATTCACTTCTTAATCCGCAGAAGCTTCAAAAATTTTCGATTTGCTGCAGTTGCGTGTTTCATGACTTCACCAAAAATTGAGACCTCTTAAGAAATAATTCTTTTCAAGGTATTATATAAACAGCAGATTAGGAGAATCTAAAAATGTAGCCTTATAGTCCAAAAATTGCTTCATTAGAATCATATTTAACCATTCTTTAGAATGAAATTTTCAAAAATTAGCCGATCTTTGACCAGATAAGATTGGCGGATGGAGAATTTCAACAAATATCGAAAAAAGCGTACAAGATTGTGGCTTGAGTATGTATCTATACGAAAGAGAAGGGAAAGCTGCATTGAATGCATGTTGAAACTCATCCAGGTGTTTATTGTGCGTGGTTTTATAGAGGTCTGAAAAAACCGACAAAACTTTCGGGACAACTTAATATATGGAGAATTCGTGCATGTGTGACGAAAAAGCGATTATATTTTCAAGCATACAAGATGAGGTGAAGTAAAAGTTGCATTTGTAACTATTGTACATTTTTAAGAAGTTCAACAAGTACGTCTATGCAAAAAATAAAGACTGTCTTCCAGTGTTACAGTCAGGTTTCTTATGTGACCTTGTACACAAAAACGTATGTACTACGTACTTACGAAGGAAATGGGGTCAAAAAGCACCAAAAATACCGATAGCTATTATCATGAAGTTGAAATATGAAGATTTTGGCACTTCACTTTCCAATTTTTCGTGCAGTTCAGCTCAGTAAATTAACTTGTTATAAGTTTTTTCAGCTTGCTATTCATACTGATTGCAGCTCAGACAAGTCAGTATAAGAAACATCCAGAAGAGCACTTACCAAGATATATTGCATACGATCTCATATCAGCGAATGAGGTAGTCGAGAAAATCTGTGAATTTAGGCTCCTTCGATTTTGTATATTTCTTCAGAGGGTGGGCTCATGACAAAGCTTGCTCTACTGCTGTGAATGCATCATTTGTATAAATATATATGATGAAAATCGCAATCGAAGGAGGAATTGGAAAATTCCTTTGATGCCCATGACAATGATTCAGCAGGGAGAGTGCTGATGATTACAACATTCTAATGTGTGTTAATAGTTCAGTGCTGTGTGCTTCCTCACACCAGAAAGAGATGTTCACAAAAGGGCTCGGCAAGAGATGAAACCAGGAAAATTTTGAAATGAACGCCCTTTGATTTTGGAAATTTCTACGAAGTCCCCTTTGATCAAGAAGATATAAGGCTGAAAACCCCTTTTCCACCATCTGTCACAGAAAATGTATCAAGGGAAGCGTGTTTAATGAAGTGGCCTTTCCAGATGAGACCCATACTGCTTTGAAGAGCACTAAGCGATGATTCCAAATCTGCCTTCCAAATCTGCCAAGCGCCTTTGGACACAGAGTTATGGGCGTTTTCCAGGTCAAAAAATTGAACGCAAAACTGGAACAAAATCACCCAAAATTACTCAAATGGTTCAATCTCAAGTATCAGAGCCGTTTGTGCAATGGATACATTTCGTCTAATATGCTAACACTTGACATTGCTTCATCTGAGCACTGAAAAGATTGTAACAATCGATTTTACCTAAATTCTGCATTCATTTTTCGTTTCAAAAAATGGTCATAACTCGGCGGCCAAAGGCGCTTGGCAGATTTAATAGGCAGATGTGGAATCACCGCTTAAAGGCACTGTCCACCCTAAGTTGAGGGTGTCGAGCTTTTGGCAGCATATAATAGTAGGGCCCCCTATCAATCCAATGCCCAAGTCGCGGCGCAAAATGCTGCTTCGGAAGCGAGAAAATCGCTTCGGAATAGCGAAGATGCACGAGGACCCCCATCCATGCTCGCTTTCCCCCATCCATGCCCGCCCATTTGTGCGCGCCCATCCAATCACGGTTCCGGAAAGCCGTCCTGTTGGGTCTCCGGAACGGGGATTGTTGGGGTTTTCGCGCATTCTCGACTTCATATTCGGATTCAGGGACATGAGAAGGCCCTAAAACGACAAAAACATGAAAGTCGAAAATCTGGGTGGACGGTGCCTTTAATGCTTTTCAAAGCTGTATGGGATTCATGTGGAAAGGCCAATCGACTAATGACGTTTCCCTTGTTAGTTGACATATGCAAAACCTTCACCTCGACTGGGTAAACCGGTAAAATGGATGAGCAGGTTGCAAACTTTTTTTAGTCCGCTGCAAGCAACCCGCTTTCATCAAAAAATAACCACGCTCTTTTCAAAAACTCATCAGAATTGGGTTAGCTTAGGGGCTTTTTTAGAGTTTTTTCTTCTTGATTGTTGGTTACTTTCATACTTGAAATCTTTCGCACATCTGCAAATTTTCGTTTTTTCCAAACTTGTTTCGTCTTCCCCCTCTCCGCTTTCTTGACATGCGAGCGGTAATGCAAATTTTTGAAAGCTTTAGTGATGATGCAATCAAATGCAAAATTGAAGCGATGAAGAATAAGGATAGAACTTAGCTTTGAAAGCGAACTACTGTTTAAAACGAATTTACGAACAATATAGAACTTTTCTTTTCTTTCCAATCATCATCGATTTTGATGAAGTGTTCTGGATTGATACCAAATAATGAATATTCATGATTTTCACATTAGAAAGGTGAATGCGGAAAGTTATTGCATGCTTACTTTTTGCAATCACGCTGCATCGTCAGTCATGGCTTACATTCTTTAGTGAAACAATATTTCAGAAATGGAAGGGAGTGCAACCACCTCCTCTTCAGAGGAATCTTCTTCTTCTTTTTCAACTTCACTGATTTCTGTAGATCGCAATCATATAGTATACGGCATATTTTTATTGCACGGTGTCGGTATGTTAATGTCATGGAATATGTTCATCACCATAGCACCACAGGTAGGTCGTACAAAGAAGGCTAGTGTGGTAAACTACCGCTTTTCATCAACGATTCATAAGGATAAGAAGCATTTAGTACTATGTGTCTTATTGGTTCACTGTGGATGGAAATGCCACGCATTATGCAGAAAGTTTTATGAGTGTTCTTGGAGCAACTTCACAGATTCCAGCCGTGGGGATTATGTTCGTGAATATGGCGATAGTGATCGCGTATGTATTTTCAAGCCCTTCTGCGTACACGATTAATAACTAACATGATTTGCAGAGGATCGCTAATGATGAGGATTGTTGTGCCGCTTATCATCAACTGTTTCCTGGTTCTTACTATTATTGCCCTTGTCATCTTCGTGCAGCCAAACGATGATGGTAAAAATTACATCGTTTGCAGTCCAAATTGGAATAGCTTATTTAAAAGATCATTTTTATATCCTATGATTCTATGCTTATTAATGACCGAATCTGACTAGAAAACAAGGCACTCCACGTTTGCAATTTCGGAAAGAAAGAATACTGAGTCTATACAGCCGTTTGTAGCAAAAGAGATGGCTCATTTCGGTTTGGAACACTGGGCTGCTGAAGGGTATTTCAAGTGAGCGTTTTCGAGCTAGCGTCATAGAAAATTTTAACGGGATACTCGAAGTAGGTGTGAAAAAAACATTTGGTAAATATAAGTGTTGTAGGCTTGATGTTGCATAGGCAAAAGGTCTTAGATTCGAACCTTATTGCTAGCACTTCTATGTTTTTGCGGAATGATAAATAAAGTCAGAACTTTTACCGCAACAGCTCAGGGGGTGGAGGGCATTAGGTCGCTGAAAGAGGGCGGTCCACGCGGTCATTTGCGACAACTACGCACCCTTGTACATACGCGGACATGCGTTACTGCAGGGAATCCGCGCGGGACTTTTCCAAATTCGGCGACCTAATGTCCTCCACCCCAGCTCAGGCAACCGCCGGGACAGGCGGGCGCCGGAAAGTACGCGTTGCTGAAATTTTGCATTCCGCTTGCAAATTCCAGGAAAGTGGTCTGCAAGTTTTTGAGAGACCGCCTGTTGAATTTTTTTTCGCTCTCATCTTTTGCAGATATGTTGAATCTCCGAAGAACAGCGAACTCAGCAAGCGGCCTTCCGAAAAGTCCTGATTGCTTTCTAAAAAATCCGCGAGCGGGGTGCGAGAAATCAGCCACCTATTTTTCCGGTGCCCGCCTGCCCCCGGCGATTTCTGAGAGTCAGTGAGTGCAGATTTAGTCTACTATTTTTGTCATAAATGGCTGTATCAACTTACTATTTACTATTTTTCCCTTGTGAAATATGTTGGACGAATTAGCTGCATAAGATATGAACTAGGATGCTGCATCAATGCCTACGCAAGACAACTCATTCTCTGTAATGCGACAAAAAAATGGTAGCTACAAAAAGCTTTTTTTCTTCTAAAATTTTTGACGTGCTCTTCATGATGTTAACAAGCTTATGACCTTAAAAATTGAAAAACGGGACCGGGGTGGCGAGACGAAATGTGGGCGCCGCGCTTCTTTTCAATGCTATGTCTTGGGCATCGGGTATACCTAATGCATCTCGATCGCTGCGCTTTTACTCCACCGGACATATGTTCCTAACTCCCGCGCTCAAGTATCTGAGAGAGTGGGTCCCGCCGCATTTGTGCCAGTTTGTAGGGGCGACAAATCGCGTGCCATCGCGAGAGATTCTTGACGGGCACACCTTTAGTGAGCCACGACATCGTCGAACCGAGAGAAATCGCGTCGCAAAGTCTGCACCAGCGGCAGCCGATATGTCGTGTTGCTTTGGTCTGGAGAAATTCCGCAAATCTTTTTCTTCAATTTTAACTGATACACCATCGAAATAGCACTGCACAAACTGCGCTTCCGCTGCACACTTGTTATCACTCATCACTCTGTATTGCTTATCCACTTTTTCACTTAACCACTTGTTTCTCTTATCCTCTCCACTTATCCACTTTAATTCTGAGTTTACGGAAGAGTTACTAAATTGCCTTGGCAATTGAAGTAAGTGTTTTCTTCTTGTTTATTTGTATTTTTCGCTTTCCCTTTCTCTTTTCCGAATCTCTTAACTACTTGAAAGTTTTCTGCTCTGTACTTGTCTGTTGCTTTACTGACTACTTTACTTTACGATTGCTGCTACTTTTGGCTTGCACTTCTGAGTCTTGTACGTGTAGCTAGTGTGTCGGCAACTTGCAACAAATTGTAGCCAGCATGTAATTCTATGTTGGCGGCAATGTGATGTCTGCCAGCCTTGAGCAACATGTAGTTGCATGTTGCTACATAGCCATACTGCCGCAGTCAGAGATGCAAACCAAAGCTAGCATAATCGTAGAATGAGCGATGCTGTGATGGACGCGTCTATGAGCCTAATCAGCGTGTGAGATTGATGTTTGAATAGAGTGAGAGATGTCAGACGAATTTGAAAACTCGCTAATGTTTGCTTATTCGGGCGTGAAGTGTGAGCTACGAGTTTGTAAAAGGTACGCCCGGAATGAGCAACTTGCGATTAGTCCCGAAGCGGTTAGACGCCGAGGCATTCAATGCCTCAGCGATGAGAATTGCTACGATAGAGTCGCTGAAAGTATGCCCGAGGCCTTAGACAGTGACACTTAGTTTCTAAGATCGACAATACAAAATTTTACATATTACTCTGTCGTAACAAACATAACTATTTTAGATCGAAATTGGTTTTACATAGTTACACTCATAATAATGCTCATGAATCTTTGCAATGGGGTATATCAAAACTCTATTTATGGAATTGTTGCGGATTTTCCCGACAACTATCCAAACTCACTCACCATTGGTAACAACATATGTGGAATATTCACTAGCGTAATGAGCATTTTCACTACATTAGGTATGTTTATCGTATAGACAGTCATACTTTACTCCCTCAAAAAATTTCAGTGTCACCTGATAACGTGATGCTAAACGCTTTACTTTATTTCTGCATATCATTGGCAATCCTGGTCATATGCGGATTATTACTTATTGCTCTTGTCAGATTGGTATGCCCTCCTCTATTTTAACAACGCTGTACCATAACTTGAGCAGTAGAACAGCTAAGAAAATCCCTGAAGGCAGCGATCAGAGTTGTTCATATGCGCTTTGCGACATATCTGCATTTTTAAGCGTTTTCCCTACTTTTCCTTTGTTTATAAAACCGTACGACAGTTGAAGAAGCCTATTCCTAGCCATACTACCGTTACGTTATGGACAAGGGCGCGCGTGCTCGTCTACTAGATGATGCCGAACGACCCAGCATGAAACAGTACTGGGAATGTTTAAGTTACGTGAGTCGTACAGATGCACCAAATTTCTATGAGCACTAGGTATATTAATTCCAGTGTTGGGTCCAACTTTTTAACAATTTCTTTGTCTACTTTATTACACTTATGATATTTCCTGCCATGATGACAGATACGCCTTTCTACAAAAAACCAGGCGATCCGTGGGGATCTATCTTTCCAGGTAAGTCCTTGACGTTCCAAACTTTCAAGTTTCGAAGCTTTCATTGGATCTATGAGAATTTCAGAAAATCTCTACTTTGCCATAAACACATTTCTTAACTTCAACGTTTTTGCATCACTTGGTTCTTTGTCCGCGAATTTCGTACATTATGTAAGTTCTTATCATGCTACTTGGAAGTCTGTGCAAAGTAAATTTCAGCCAAAGCCGAAGTTTTTGTGGATACCAGTAATAGCCCGGGTACTATTCGTACCATTTTTTATGTTCTGCAACTACCAACCTGTAGGCAAACATAGAACAATAGGGGTAAGGATGAATTTTGGCCATAGTAAAATTATGTCAAATCCCAACAATCTACATTATTATGAATCACAAGCTTTCCAACGAATTTTCTCAAATCTTAGAACCTAAGAAAGTAAAACTTCACCTTTCAAAAGTAGTCATGGTGCAGGGCTCTTGTATTCAAGTGGGAAGCAAGTGTTCTACGTTTTTATAAGTTTTGCACCAAAAGAAAGTGTGAAATCAACTGGGATACCCGTCTTCCCTCAGCACACATGAACTTTGCTCTCGAAACGAGCAAACTTGTATTCCTCAAGAAGAGGAAAAAAGTTCGAGTTATGTCTATGCTACTAGGTTGATTCATAATTAATGCACGTTTTCTATACTTCAACTTTCGACCAAGATAATTCTTTTGTTGGAATATATTTGTGGGCGCAATAAAAACTGCTGTAACCACCAAAGTAGTGGCTATAAAACAGATACTTTTGCGTGATTTTATCTATCACAAGAAAAATTTTCTGGCCTGAAGACTGCCAACAACTTTTTTCAGAAGCCTCTACTTTGAGAGAGCATAACTTATGTTGAAATGAAGTAGGATAAAGTATACTTCACTCATCGTGTAGCCAAGGGTCTCTTGAGCAGTAGTGCCAAGCTTGGATTTTACGGAAAATTTTTGAAAGAAAATATCGCGAAAAAGTCGAAAGTACTCATTTTTTCTGGCATCTCGACGGGTTCAAAAATCGGTCATTTTTGAAATTATTTCATTTAGCTCCGCTAGAAAGTGAGAAAACCCTAGCACTTTTCTACCATCAAATGAACTAGGTCTAACCTTGCTGGATAGTGTGAAGGACCTGCAATCGCCTTTTGCTCCAAAGTTTTATATGGCATGGAAGGGCTGCGACTATCACTCAAGGTCGCAATTGAATTCTTCGGCTCAGAATTCATGGAGAATTTTATTCAAATAGCATCTTATAGCACAAAATTTTCTGATAGTCATGCATATTTTTAAAATTTAATCCGGCTATTCCTCATGGTTTCAGGGCAAAGTGAAAAGCAAAAACTTTCGGATTTAGTCTCTTTTATTTGAAGGCTCAGAACTTTGGAATGAACGGAGATGTACGAAAGCGAAGACCCACATAAGAAACTAGAAAAAACTCTCTTTCAGACAGCATAAGAAGTTTTTGAGTGTATTGACTACTCATCAAATACCAGCTCTTGGAAGAAGAGGTGTGAAAAACGTGCATTAATTAGTAAATCAACCTAATATTTCGGCCCCTCCAGATTTCTGTTTCATCCTAGCTTTCCAGGGGAATCATCGGTAAGAAAGGATAGCTCAATTTGACCTAATTATTAAGTTGTTCCCACATTTCCAAATAGATGGAGCCGTTTTTGTTTCCACAGCAGACTTAGGGTACATTGTTAGAGCGGATCAAGCTCTACAAAAGCCCACCAAAGATCCACCTAACAAGGGAGGGTCGCGGAGTCGAAGTGGCCAATTACCACAAATCGCACTGATGAGAGATTGGAACGCTGTTTTTACGGCTTTTTCTT